CTTGGGAGTGGTCCATCGCAGGCATATTCTCGCTTTACCAAATTCATAATAGTCCCCCAGCCAAACAGTCGCGTAATCCCTCGATGAATCGAACTGTTGTAGGTCCAACCTGCCCCAAGAAAGGATTGCATCGCCCCGTAACGACTGTGCGAAAGGACAAGTCTGCTAAACGAAGACATGTCCTTAGGATTCGCCTCCAACCCCTCCTTGGAGACTCGATGGCCTAAGTAATCCACCTTGCGCATCCCCCAATAGCTATTTACCACACTGATAGAGAGATTCCACTTAGTACACGCCTCCAGTAGGGATGTCACTCTTTCGCACAACTGATCACACGATTTCGCCGGGATTAGAATGTCGTCGATGTAAGATCTGCGTCCTAATACGGACGGGGTTCCAGGATCCCCTGGCTCTCCTGCCTCAAATGGATCTACTTCCGTATGATCTTCCCCGGATCCACCCCTTTTGGGTTCCGGTATTCGGGTGAATCCATAGCGGGCGTTATCGATTAGACGTTGGTAGATCTGGGTGCGTTCTTCAATCCAAACGGCATCCGGTTCCACTCGAACAGTCCGAACGGTGTGATGAATGCGGATATTGCGCGAGCTCGATCCGTCATAGTCACCACCCAGAAACCACTGGCCATGTCCAGAGAACCAGAGTACTTTATTAAAAACCACAGTACCAGAGTACTTTATCCAAATCTTCCAATAGCTCATTGATTAGAGGCATTGGATACATCATCAACCGGGTCAAGCCGTTAACTACCCGGTAATTAATGCACAGACGTATATCCACCCCGTTCTTCTTGATGATGATTACCACCGGAGATGCCCACGGGGACGTTGAGAAACTAATGATCTTGGCCTGCAGGGCCCTTAATCAGATCCGATAGTTTTTCTCGGAGCTGAGGTGCCACCTTCCGCATCCTTTGAGCGATCGGTTTCGCGTCGCCGACATCGGTGTCACATTTGACTCCGCGGGCAGCGGGCGGTAATGCATTACCTTTACTAATCAGCAGATGCCGGCTTTCCCAGATCTTATGACGTAACCGATCCACTTCCGCGGGCTTGTTCGCCCCTGGATCCACTTGGATATCGTCAATTGTGACCTCCTCGGTGGTCAGTGGTACCCCCGGGATCACCGCCAGGCCTTCTCCGAGATCCTCGGCGTGTAGTTCTTAGCCTTCAGGGTAACAGACTTGTTCATCTTCCGTCTTCGTCGGATCCACCATTGGATCCAAGCACCGCGACCCTCTTTCACCTGTCAGTCCTTCTGTCTTCGTGGGATCAGGTACCCTGGTACCGGGGAAACCACCAATTGGATCAACTTGATCATCTAGCGAGTTTAAACATGTGGTGAAGTGCTTTCTCAGAAATAAGAGAATGGACCTGACGAGGGGTCACTATCCGGAATCAGTGATAATGTCAAGTGATTAGAGAGGATTTGGATTGTCTGGCACGGATGCAAGTATCCTGTGGTGATTAGCCATGACGAGCAGCACCCCGTATGAAATGACGATGGATCTGGTGTGAGTGATGTTAGGGAAGGCAAGATCCACCAAGACCTATCTCGGATCAACCCTTACCAGGATTCACTTAGGTGGATATGGGATATACTATATACGGGTGGATCGAGTGTGGATCCTATGAAGGAATGATGGTAGGTGCCATCCGAAGGTGGATTTAGTAACCACGGCTAACGGGAAGTCAAGATCCACCGCGAGGTGTCCCGGATCCCATACTTCCGAGTTCGGATCCAAGGAGGTGAGGATCCCACATGAAGGGACCTGGATCCGGGATACAGGGATGATGGATGCAGTGGATCTCGAGCTTTCGTGGACAATGGAGATCACAGATGATCGCAAGACGATGTTGGATGATTGGAGAGCTCAGATCCACGACGAGTGTACACTTACAGTGAAGTGGATCCAAGCCACCTGGATCTGGATGAGTGTACCCATAATAGGGTGACCATAATGATTAAGCCATGGATCCGGTAGATCTGAGGATAATACAGCTGGGATGATGGGTCAAGGAAAGAAAGGACATGCGGCCGAGCCTGGTAAGGGAAATTAACAAGTAAAAGACATAGAAGGTAGAAATCCAGACAGGTACAGGCTTAAGTATCAATACAGTCTTCTATTTGCACAGTAGCACGCAAGTGCCCTTCCTGCCCTCAAGAACCGGAACTACATTGGCCGTACGAGCTCCGTGAAGGTTAGGAAATTGCGAATCTAGTGTTGGTAGTGATAGCTGGATAATACATTGGCCAGATCCTACAACCTAGTGAGCTTCCCTATACACGTGCAGATCCGACAGGTTAACCGAATTTACTACTTGGTCGGTTATACTCTAGAAGGTCTCAACGCTCAAGATCTCGTCACAGGAGGCGGCAAGTACGACGCCAAGGAAACGCAAAGGCAAGCGACACACCCGCAAGGCAACCCTACGGCCAGATCCACGATCTAGGCCCCGGATCCATAAGCTCGAATATTCGCTTAGGATTCGGAACAATCCACGGACGCAGAGTGAAGGTTTTCCACTTCTGCTCCACCCCATCTCCACGTCTCGCCAAGACACTCAAGCTTCACCACTTGAACTCTTCGAAAGTTACCGAGAGAGCAAGATCCCGCCCTACCGACGGGTACACAAGGTGAGGAAAGTTCAGCAGAACACGGATCATCGGGGGACCCCCTCCGTTAGTCGGTGTCTGGGCGCAGTTGGTAAGTTGGATCTGGCAATCTCGCAGATTTTGCTGATCCCGCTACACCACAATGGTGCGCGTGCTTAAATCTTTTGGTGACTCGGGATTTCACCGTGAGTCTTAAGAAGATGCTCAAGTGAAGATTGAGCCAGGGGAAGAGGCGTCGTCGGAGGTCGGATCGACGAAGACGCTGCTGATTGAAACAAGATCCGCAGATCGACGGAGTTTTGGTAGGAACTCTGTCGACGGAAGAGAGGTGGATCCGGATCCGGATCTAGAAGAGAAACCTCTCTATCCTCCCCAGGTCCCCTCGGGGACCCCTGCGGATCTTGACGCAAGTCAAGATCCGCTAACAAAACAAGGGAAAGTGAAGGCGAAACGGTATGCATGTGCAGATTCACCGGTTAAGCCAACACCGTACCTAAACCCAAGCCCGCTAGTCGAAGAAACAAGAAAGAAGACGAAAACGAGTAAGACTACGCGGAAGAAGATGCAAGCTCCAGAGTCGGAAGAAGACCAAGCTGGATCCAGGTCAAGCTGGTCCGACAAGGATCTCGAGTTTGTGTATCGCCACCAAGCTTTACGCGACTTCCTGCATCAAGATCCTGTCATGCAGATCCTGAATCCACGACAGATCGAAGATCCAAGGGAACCGGTGAGAGCACCAACGAAAACGGCGAACAAGTTGGTGGCAGTCAAAGATCTATTACGTTTGCTTACGGAGTCAGGCATCGTAGCTGGTGTGTTCGACGCAGAGGATATCTTCGAGCTAGACCTGGATCTCATAGTATCCGCGACGCGGGACCTCTTTGCCAGAGTTAAGTCCATCACCGGAGAAAGGTCGCGCACTATGGATCCAGTGTCGTCGCCGAGGATCAGCCAAGCTGCGTCCTCAAACTACGAATCCGCCGCTGAGGATGAGTCAGACACGTCGTCCGAACCACGACGCATGACTTTAGGACCCTCCGGGGCATCCATGCTGGAAGCGCGGGCGAGGATCCGAGGACAGGAAGCCCCTGTGAACGTGAAAGCTCGGGATCCAGTACGCCCTACGCGTGATTTGACACAATCCAGCCAGGATCGAGCCAGATCCGGCAAGAAGCCAGTGGGATTATCGTCAGATCAGGCTCGAGGTAATCGCCTCACGGATCCAGTCCCGCCAGTGGACCAGACGGCCACAGGCTCTTCCGACACTTCCGCGGGCACCCTGCAACGGCACTTTGAAGCTGCGATGAATCGCTTCCTGGCCGAACAGGGTATGAGAGCGCCCGTGCCACAAGTGCAAGTGCTCCATGAACATGG